ATGCAAAACCAGACCATACCCTTTCGAAGTGCTCTTGCAGCACCGAGAGCCACACCGGGCAGCAGGCGCTCAGGGCCGGATGCAACTGCCGACTGAAAAGCGTCATTGAACGAGGCAGAGGTTGTCATCTTGTAAACTTGGAAGGTACGCAGTGCTTTGGGTGTTTACCTACATCATCCTCGATACCAGACCTTTATATCTTGATGAAGCCAAACTATGCTTATCATGCATCCTTCTGGGTGACTCACAATTGCATCGCAAGTGCCCGCGGAGACAACAAAAGGGCGCTGTAGGATTTAGGACGATGCAACAACTATCGTGAAGCTTCAGTCGCTTAGATGCTCACAGAGCGCGTTGCTGTTTGGGTACTAGGGCGAGGCTGCCATCCTGATTCCGCGACTATTTTTGCGTCCTACGGGCGTAACCCCTCTCTTCAACGCCCTTCGGGCTGAACGCCTACGCTGTAGCCGCGGAAACAGGTATCTCTCGACTATCACTGCGACTTCATCGCAGCGCTCTATCCTACATAGGTAGGCATGCCGCTGTTGCGTTTCTCGCGTCCGCTTTCGCTCCAGAATCCACCCGCCCCCACCTTCCGGTCCCGCACCCCACCACACCACGCCAAGGTTTGATGCACACAAGCCGGGGGTACGAACGCACACTCTGACCGGTACCTGACAGCTCCAGACCTATGCGTCTTTACTTTTTTGCTTCAAATTCTCTTACCTTACCTTCAATCTTAGAACACACCATGCATGCATTGTGGACGTGGGCGAATCATCGCGCATGGGGGATGACGGCATACTGCGTCTCCTGTCATCTCCGCGACTAATTCTCGGACCTTTCCATTTCACATCGTTACAGATGCTGCGAAGCCGCTGATCCTTCTAGTGTTCCCAATTCGGAGGTGACTGCATACACTTGCCACCGTATGCAAACTTGTCACAAACGGGTCCTCGACACCACTTCATCGTACACCGGTCACGGCTGCGGGAGAATTGAGCTCGATAGCCGACACGATCACGTACGATGCAGATGGTATCGATCGAAAAGGCGCCACTCCGGACAGATTCTTGACAGGGACCACCGTGGCGGGAGCGCCCGACCGCTGCAGATTGGCTCGAGCCCTGTCGGTTACGCATGTTTGACAACCCGTACGCGAGGAAACTCAAGGTCGGACTCGCGTTTCGTCAAACTCCAATACGTTGTCGTGGTCAAGCAGGGTAGAATTCTCGGGTCCACTACCGGCCACTAGAATTCTGTCAACGTCCCTTGATCATTCCAGGATCATGAGTATACGCGCATGCAACGTAATTCGACGTAAAAGGCCATTCCAGGTTTCAAAACAGGAGTGTGGCAAAGCGTGAACAGCAACTGCTACTCACTGCAGCAAGTCCGCTCTATACTCCCAATTGAGATCACTGACGCATAATGGGCACATTAATGCCGGGACTCGAAGTCGTGTTGAACAGTACCACAAGAGGTATCATTATTTCTCACCGATCAGTATCCTAGACTAACAACGACCACGCGGTTCATCGTCTACGGAGTATATCCCATCTCCGCGTCGATGCTCGTATATGCGGGTGGGTACATAGCCGGGCAAGCTCTCGACTGCCGTTATGCGCACCTTAACGGTCATCGTTCCCAAACGCTGTATTGGTCGACCATTGGAATTGTTTTTTGTGGTCGGCCCACTTTTGTCAAGCCCTGGCGGATGTCTTACGCCCCCATGCTCCTCTCCCATTTAACAGGTTTGGTACTTCAAAAGCCACCATGCACAAATGGTAGGCATCCCTTCACTCGAAAAGCCGTTGTTCAACTGTCTCGAACTTTGACAACGTTCCACGCACCACACAACCTAACGAATCATCTTCATCATGCCTGGTGGCATAAACCCCCCCATCGAGGTCAAACTGAGTTGGCCAACACCAAACTATGTCAACCCTACACTTCGACCAAACGCCGTCCTGTGGATTGCGTGTGTACTTGGACCTATTACCGTCGTTATGACTCTTGTACGGTTATGGGTCAGAATCTTTCATCAACGATGTCCCGGCTGGGACGACTGGTTGATGTTAGCTGCCCTTGTGAGTTATCAGTGATCACTCATTATGGCTACGCTAACAATCCTAGCCTCCAGTTATCGCCTTGACAGTCATATATCCCCTAGGTAGGATCTCAAACCGGTCCATTGCTATCTAGCTAATGCTTCTCAGCAACCAACCAAGCATTCGACCGACATATTTGGGACCTAAACTACCTCTTCGAACCGGAAATCATCGTTAACGCACGGAAATACGTACTCGCAACCGAATGTGTCTTCTGTGTTGCAACTGGCCTCGTCAAAGTCTCCATTCTTCTCTTCTACCGACGCCTCTCGGCCCGCGCCGTGTCGAAGACATTCGTATGGGTGACTTGGGCCACTATCGGCTTCATCATCGCCTACACCATTGCCTTGACCTTGGCACCTATCTTGGGCTGCCAACCCATCTCAGCATTCTGGGATCAAGTAAACATCATCAAAAAGTTACAAGGTTACGAGTTCCACTGCTTCGACGAAGGTGCCGACGTCTTCGCTGCCAGCATCATATCCTGCGCCCAAGACGCCCTGACTGCCGTTCTTCCTACGTTCCTTTACTGGAATCTTCAGATACCGATCCGACAAAAGCTGGCGTTGTTCGGTATCTTTGCCATGGGTTACGGTGTCGTCGCACTGGGAGCTGTGCGAGCCTACTACAGCTGGTACACCTTCTATGGCACTTACGACGTGACATGGCACACATGGAATCTGTTTCTTACTTGCATGCTCGAGCTGTACATCGGATGCTTATGCGCCAATGCGCCCGCCATGAAGGTCTTCTTCAAACATTTCTTCCAGGAAAAGCTCAGTCAGCGATCCAAGACAAGAACACCAGCTGGTACCGATGATCGCCAGGATAGTGCGCACACCAAGTCGAAGAACTCGTGGAGGAAGTTCGGTGCGAGCATTACAGGCGGAAGCTGGGCCAACAGCACCAAGGGATATTACGATTCTCACCTTGGTACCACTGTCGACCCGCATGGAGGTGTGCATGTGCACAAAGAGGTGCAAGTGACCATGTCGCCAACCAGCTCGGCGATGCCGACACCCACTGGCATTGACCGCCCTGTGTCAACTATGACAGCCGACATGATCTGCGACCGCGATTACGAGGACATCGAGCTTGGTCGTTACACCACAGGCCACAACTCGCGAGCATCCAGCATGCGATCGACTCATCTCTTCGAAGGGCACGACTTGGAGGCACTCCCTCCACTACCCATGTCACCTGCATCGCCAACGTCGCCAGCAAGCGTTGCTCCTCTGGCATCGCACCCTCTCTCGCCCACAGAGAAGAGGCTACCCATAACTCCCCTGCCCGGTACGGCGATAAGCCAAGAATCCAGGAGGGAAAGAAGTCCCACTCCCATGCCACCACCGCCAACCGCGCGGGAGTCGCCATACCCCCCACGCGGTTCAAGTCAGAAAAAGCCAAGTTGGCAGTCGTGGTCTTGAAGCGTGCCGCGCATGCTAATGCTCAGACCGTTATGTCGACCTATACCCACGCACGATATGAAGCATCGCGTAGATCGCGCAAAAATTTCCTCGTCTTTCCTTGTACTTGCAGCGTCGCTGTAATGTCGCTTTATGATACCATTTCCGCCCTCTGGCGCTACTATAGAAGCATTTTTCAAATGCATCAATATATTCATATCTTAAAAAAGCTTCGTGTACACTCCTGTCATCATTCTCGACTAACAATTAAGGTGTTGTGACGCTCGCTTCTACCCATGTTGGTGACCTTGCGGATGCGGCTTCGATCATGACGACTTACATCAGCGTGCTGCAACCTCGGCATGCGGCCGAATCATGCCATTCACATCGAATTTCATCGAACGTCAGAAAAACGAAGACGTCAAATGATGTACACCTCGAGACGAAATTGTCAAGTAGGTTCTAGACCCATCACATATTAGCCGAAAGAAGAAGGTGCATCCTCGCTACTTTTTGTTCGGAATTAATGACCCAGCCATTCCGATTCCGATGAGGCGGGCACCTGGAATTTCGCACACGGCCTGGGGAGCACTTTCAACCTCCAAGCCCTGTCGCACGTAATGACTCAATGGCGTTCCCCATAACGAAAAAGCGTTCTCCACCAAAGCCTGAATCTCTAAACCGGTCAAAAGTAATTGAATGGTTCATTCTACCCGCATGATGGCAACAAACCTTTCCCCACCAACGCTTTTCACACCGTCGGATCTCAAATCGAACCCAACCCTATCGAAATCCATCACCCAACTCGTCAACGACGCGTTCTATCGTTCGTATGAACGAGATACGGCGAAATGGGATAATTCGGAATCGCGCTTCAGCGATGAAGAGGGGCTTCATACGCTGCTGAGTGAGGCGGGCAGCGTTATCGCATTGATCTTTGACGATGCGGCGAGCGCGAACGAGAACGGTACCATCGATGGCGGAAACGGTAGCATCAGTGGCGAAGGCAGCAGCAGCGACGGAAAAGAGAGTAGAAAGGTCGTCGCATGCGCCTCCCTCGTACCCTGGAAAGGCGGCTGGGAAAAAGAGTGCGCAGACACAGAAACAGGCTGGGAGATCAAAATCGTGTGTGTTGACGGAGACCCAAAGTACCACCACCGCGGTCTAGCAGTCCAACTCCTCAACTTCCTAAAGCAGTATCTCATCGTGAGAGAGACCATCCAGCTCGAACAAAAGGGACTGCAGGGCCAACGCGTGTTGAGCCTTTGGATTTTGGCCGCGGAGTGTCTCAACGGCGCGTATTGGCGTAAGAGAGGGTATGAGGTGGTAAGGAAGAAGACGTGGGGACCGGGGACTTGGAGTTGCAAGACGAGTTTTGAGATGGTGGTTTTGAGGAGGAATGTTACGTTTGGGTTTGGTGGTGGGTCGGCGGTGGGAAAATAAGAAAAGGAAACGGAGGTGGTAGATGCGAGCGTAATGGCTTCTACGGGCCCAAACGTAATCGATGATCTTCTTCCCAATCGGGCTTTGGGGAGGAAGACGGCATGCTCATGTTGAACGTCAGGCCTGTTGTCGCGTAGAACTCTCGCAAGCCCGCCCTCCGCAGATCGGGCAGGTAGCATCGTCGTGTCTTGCTGTCCAGAGTTATGGATTCGTTAGGCTGCTCCTTGAACACCAGCTCGATTTGCAGATCTGTCCAGTCTGCCCAAGGGTGAAGTAAAACCTGATCGAGCTTCCCCTCCATGTGCTGCTTCCAAAGCTCACTACTGAAGACCATGAATTGCGCTAGGTCCTCAACGGCTGTAGCGACGCGCTCGTCTGTCAGAGTGTCCCCGCTGTTATGCTGCTCTTTTACAGCGTCCCAGTCGACCTTCGGATCTAGTGCAAACAGGCAAGCGTAGTCTTGACGCAGGAGTCGTAGTTTCAGTAGCGGGAGGAGGTTGAGCGACGGATGTAGCACTCGGGGCACTCGGGGCACGGGGATAATGCCCTCCGATACGTAGGCCATAAAGGCTTCGACCTCTTGCTCGGCCCAGGAAGTATCCGTGGATCTTGGCTTCGAGATCGGAGGCTCGTTGCAGATGGTCTCGTCGATGTGTACGGTGATTGACTTTGGCGCGCGGATGGACAGAAACTCGCCGTTGCTGAAGGTACAGCACACCGTGTGGCAGAAGTGTTCGACGTGCAGCCAGTCTAGACCGACTTCGAGACTGGCGAAGAGGTGCGGGAGGAACTCTTTGCGCAGCTTTTGACACACATGCGCGAGTGAGAGGATCGAAGCGGGAGGAGAGCCTGCGTCAAGGGAGGACGAGTTCGGATTGAAGCGCCGGACGCGGCCCTCGTATTCGGCAGTCAAGAACTCATAGACGGAGTTGCGAAGTTCTGCGATGACGTCAGTGTTATTGCGACAGGCTTTGCGATCTAATGAACTCACCTGCAGGCAGGTCGAGGAAGCGGAAGGGCTCGGGGAGTGAGCGTTGCGTTCTCATGTTGGCTAGTGACAATGCTGCAAGAATTGTTCCAAGTCTTTTAGTACGCTTCGGGATTTATCTGGCAGATAGGATTGTGGGGTTAGAGAGAAGGAGAGTCGGCAAGTTGGGGGCAGTCATCAGCGTGGTGGTCCGTGGTGAGAGTACCCCCCGCCAGGTAAACGACACCGGGGTCCGTGTGACGCGTGTCTCTGGCGAAAGTAAAGACTTGAACAGCTACCAAAGAGAGGGATAAAACCGAATGAATTCAAGGATCGCTTAGCCTTAAGGCTCTACTAGATCTAATTGTTAAATTAATGGAGGCTGTAGCGCACTTGTCATCTTGCTCAGTTTCCTCATCCTCTCAATTATGTGCGTGGTTTGACTGGACGAATATGATCGGTAAACCAATGCTAGTACACCTTGAAAAGGTGTTTCAAGGCTCAAATTCCAGCGAAGGGAAAGCTGGGAAGTCATCCCATGTCCAAGCCTCGAAAAGTCCAACGCTCTTAAAGTATAGCTCTGTGAATGAGTATTCCGAGTCCTCGTCCGACTCAGGGCTAAACAGCGAGTAGTTCATGTAGAACTCAGCCTGAGGAGCACCGTAGACGCCGATGTTGGAAAGGATGATTCTCTTGATAACACCAGTCGCGATTTCGAGCAGCCACTTTTCGTTCCGATTGCACACCACATTCCCTAGGGAACCAGAGTCTTCATTGACAAATTCCGCGAACTCATCCGGGTGGTATTTTCCGTCTTCAAGCACAAGCTTCATGATAGTTTTGTCATGGACGAAGCGACAGGTGAAATCTGGTCGGCAGAGCCCGACCTTGATGATCGGTAGCAAGTCGAGTTTAGATCCGTCCCCTTCCTCTTGTCCGCGCCACGGAGTCACAACTGTTATGCCTTTCGGTACAAGCTCAGCATTCACGACCTTGCCGTCAACGTTCGGAAAGAAATGGTGCAGGTAACCGGTGACCGCCTTCCAGTCAATGATGATCTCTCGCTTCATGCAGACGGGCCGGTACTCAGTACGCAGCTGTTGACATGTCTGCGCAAGCGCAAGACACGGCAGTACGCAGCGAGGTTGGTCGGCTTCGGTCTCAGCAGCGAACTCATAGATACAATTGCGCAACTCTATTACACACATGTCAGCCCTAACATCTTGCCTGGAGAGGGTCGCGCCTACCTGCTGGTAGATCCAGGAAACGAAAGTGGTTCTCGCGGTCGCTCCTGCTGACAGTGGACTGAGCCATTTCTGAGTTGGAATCGGAGCTGTGCCGGGGGTGTCGGTTGTGAGAATGTAGTGGAGAGATGATGCAATGGGTTGAATGCGAAGGTACAACGGTAGAGTGACCCTTGTTAGCGTTGCGCGAACTAGGTAGTCGCCTAATGCGATCCACATTCACGTGTTTCCACCTGATTAAGAGTGAAATGCACCCAAATACAAATTTTGAGAAGCAAGCTGTAAGCTACGTGATTCGCATATTTTAGACATTATCTATACAGGTGCCTAAAAACTGTACAGATCTTTGAAGATAGTGAATGTCAGACAGCAAGCTAGCGTAAGATATCGACGCCCAATCTGATCACTCCACGACTCTATTCTTTCTCTACATCTTCCGTCCGGCTCGAATTGTTGGAATTGCGCACATCTGTGTCTTCAAATGCAACGTCATGATAACCCCCAGACCAATTTTCAAAACCTGTCATGTTGTAGAGCTGTCTCATCTGATCCATGTAAGCTTGCCCTTCCCGGTCCAATGTCATATCCACACCGTGGGGTACATGACCCGGCTTGTACCACAAGTAGGATCTACAATCTTCCTGACAGCAGAGTTCAGAGATCTTGGATGCTTGGACATCGTGTCTCAATGCAGGCGAAGTATTTTCCAGGATGTGCGTTATGAGCTCACAGACATACGGGGGATAGAAATGCTCTTCGTCCGCAGGACCGGGGATGACGGTGATCTCGGTTTTCGGGAACGCTATCTTGACTTCTAGGAGAGGTAGTATGTCCACGTTTGTGGTCGGTGGATAGAGATAAATGACGCGCGTGGGGCGTTGCCCATCGAGTTCCCGCTGGTTCGTATGACCCCACGCAAAGAACGCGTTCGTGAACCTCTTGATGTCTTTGTCTTTGACTGTGAAGGGGACATTTTGCATGTAGATCTTCCTGAATTCATCGCGAATCTGTCGGCAGACTTGGGTGAGACTGATAGTGGGTCCGTTGCCAGGCTTGAGTATGATGTTGCGCGGCGGTGCCTCGGCAGCGTACTCATAGATGCGGTTCCGAAGTTCTGAGGTGTGAAGTTAGTGAACCTACTTCATTAGATGAAGGAACGCTAATGATATACCTGCAGCGAGGTCTAAGAAGCGGAAGTGGTGTCCGTTAGTCGACCCGGAGGTGATGGAAGCATCGTGGAGTTGCATGGCTGCAAGCGCGTCGCCAACAGCGCTGGTATAGGACACGATAACCCGATCTATGAATTGGCGGAGGTGTTGCTATCACGTATTCGAGACTTTCATCGACGTGGAGCGTGGAGGAGTCGACGAGCGTACAGGGTCTGGAGATTTCGTGTTCAATCAGGCAACCAATCCCGCGCTAACCCAAAACGTCCATTGTCCGCGGCCCCACCTGCCACGCGCGCACCTCAGGCGAAACCTTGGAAAGTAGAATTGAATATGTGCACCGTAGGCTACATTAATCTACAGATCAGAATGAACAGAACCGAAAGGCAATGTCGACTTCCTGGCTATGTTCTCCTTCTCTCTTCACGTGCCGAGGGGCCCTATTTCTCACCTCCATCAAATTGGTGGAGGCACGTCAACCTAGAAAAAAACTGAACAGGTCTGCAGCCTACATTAACATAGAAACCTGCAAATTAGGCGGGCTAACGTCGATGTAGGCTCTAGACCTGTTTAGCTTTGTTTCCTTGTATGAGGTGGAGGGCCTATCATAGGTACCATTATCTCGTCCCATAGGCCATCAAGACCGGTAGTACCCGTCGTTGAGGCAAACTGTCCGCTGAACTTGACATTGACATCCACAGCTTCGTCCGGGGTTTGCATGCTGATGGCTACACTCTTCACCTCGTACTCCTGTACAGCAACGCGCCAGTTCCGCTTCGCTTCCTTGACTAGCGCAGTGTCTTCAGTTCCGAGACGTGTACAACCACCATACTGTACTAGCTTGGTGATGGAGACTCCAGCGGGAGCACAATCCTCGAAATGGATGATGCGTACTTCCAGTCCCTTGAAGGCCAAGCCCAGTCGCACTAGATGGATGATCTCCATTGGTCGATCGAGCGTGCAGTCGAAAGCTGTCTCGTACTGAATGATGAGCTTCTTGGGACCGCTTCCATACTCTTCTTCGTTCGGGTAGAAGCTCTCAAGGAATGCGTGGACAGAGTGCCAATCGATGACGAACTTGGCGCGTTCAAGCCACATTGGTCGGTACTCGGAACGTACCTAACACGTGGATATGCTAGATCAGTACATGTCTCGTATCCATTTCACATGATAAGTTACTTGGCGGGAGACTTGTGTCAACGCGATGCCTGCGACGCCGTGATCGCGAGGTCCATGGACTGGTGTGAGTAGCTGAGAGGGTACCTCTGCGACAGCGTACTCGTAGATTTGATTGCGGAGCTCTGGATGGACGTCAGTCTTCCACTTCGCGACATTTCGCTATATGTACTCGTGTGTGTTGCGGGAGTCATGCATCCGCCGATCAAACAATGGAAGGGATGAGAAAGAGGTCGCTATATGTACTCACCTGCTGAGAGACGCATAAAGTCGAAAATACCTGTTGGAGTATACGCGACCTTCTTCGCTCGCGGAACGCGACTGCTGGACAGCACGTCGTCGTCACGGCGTCGCTTCAGGCGAAGCATCGAGAGCTCGGGCGTGTAGCGATCCATAGTGACGTTTTGGACGCTACGCGGGTGGCGTTGGAAGCTTTTGTTGTTGTTGTTTGCACACGGACGCGAAATTCGTACCGTAAACATACCTAGGTAGGGTCTCGCGTTTGCTGTGACGTCACCTACCTAGGTGATCTCTGGTCGCATCTTCGCTTAACCAAGCACCTGCATCTTCGCTCGATTGGGGACAGCGCTTACTCTAGCCATCATGAATACGAACTACGAAGAGTCACAGCTCTGGCCCAGCTTGCTGTGTACGATCTGCCGCCTACACTGACCAAAGATGACTTCGCGAGACCACTCGATGAACCCCTCAATCCCAGACACCGTCGACTCTAATAATCCGTCGCGAAGAAGTACTCACAACCAACTACTACACGTCCTTAGAAAGATGAAGAAGCGCCGCAATGCACCCAAGATTGCACCCACATCAAACAAGCCAGTACCCAATACCTCACCACTTCTACTGCTACCAGCTGGTACGTCTCCCCAACAACACACGCGTACCCCACCTAACACACCCCAGAACTCCGCAACCAGATCTACCAATATGTGCTACAATCCCAACACCGCCCCATCGAACTCTTCAAATCACCCGTCCTCTACAGCTCATGGAGCCACAGCACGTCCGCTTGGTTCCGCATGATAAAACCAAGTCAAGTATGCCGGCAAATGCGCAGAGAATACCGCCCCTTGGCTCTCCGCCAACAAGAGCTCACCATCAGCATGAAACCCTGGCTCCGCTACGTCGACTTTGTATACGGGCCGTTGAGGCCTGTAGCACACGTGCCTAGACGCATTGATCTGGTTATCGAGGATCCGTTGACAGAGCGACTTAGACTCGATGTACTGCCTTTGCTGCGGATTCGACATTGTAGTCATCCGACTGGAAGAGCGTCGATATCGTTTAGGCCGTGTCATAGCTATCTAAAGCAGCCGACGACGATGAAAATGCAGCTGGATTCTATATTGGGCTTTGACGACGCACGTTGGGTGACTTGTATTGGAAGTGGAGATGTCGCGGAAGTTGTGATTCATGCTGGAAGAGGGAGTCTCGACTACGGAGTGACCATTGTGAGGGTTGTTGTTGTGTTTAAGAGTGGGAAGGCACCTGGTCGACTTACGAGCGAGGTCATAGTACCGGAAGTGATGGTTCGCGATGAGGGTTTCGTTGACAAGTTTGCGGAAAGTGTGGGCTGGACGAAGAGAAAGGGACTGGATGTTCATGCTTCGATAGAGGGGCATTGTAAGAATGTTTGGCCACTGCGGCCGACGAAGTATTTGTCGAAATGGACATAGTACCTGTAGTGTAGAAGTATATTGTAGAGCGCTATCTATTTTGCAAGGTCGTGGCATCGAGTGCGTGTACTTTCGTATCACCGCACCCGACCTGATGACCACCCAGCACGATGTGAAATAGCCGCTTTGATAATGAAAGGCGAACTGCTGAGTGATAATCCAGAGCACCTTGCCATACATTTGGAAGATGTCACCAGGCTGTCTGGGTGCATGTCTCAGCTATCAACCAAAGCTAGCATGCGAGTATCATCCATCCCCTCCCCCCTCTGCATACTACTCACGAATGCCAAATATAACTTCTGGTCTTATCGTCATCATCGCTGAACCAAAACTTGTGCCGATACCCATATGAACGCTCCTGCGGGTTCGGGTCAGGCCATGAGAGCCTCAGTTCACGTATGCCACGCGTGGGCTGAGCTACTTCGTTCCACATCTCATGAACCGCAGTCTTCCACTTCCTAGCCATGTCGTGCTCCATGGTGATTCGGAGTGCAGAGTCGGAAAATTGAACCCTCAGTCTCATCTCTTTGATCGACTTGCCCATGTCGCGCCACTTTGAGTTGGACGAATCAGCGAACAACGAGAGCATACTGTTGACCTGTGCGATGCTTTTTGCCGCCGAGGAATATCTTTTCAGATCCTTCTGAAGTTCGAGGGTAAAGCGAACCTTCGGTGAGCGCGCGACAAGCGAGACGACGCGGGCGATGTCGGCATCGTAGAACTCGTCCACACCCATGTCCTCATCGCGGCTATGCCCAACTACACTGATGATGTGTCCGCGGTAACGCAGCATCGTGGCCTCATCGCTAGGCGGATAGAAATCGCGGATGTATCGGGCGTAGTGGTACGTGGATTCTAGGCGAAACGCGGTTTCAGTCATGTAGATGATGTGGAACTCTTTTCGGATCTGCCGACACGTTTGTGTAAAGCAGCGCCATCCTCCTACCGGTTTGATTGGGTCATCGTGACGGAGACGCAGTGAGACGGGGTCTGTATCGATGCAGAAGCTGTATATTTTATTGCGTAGTTCTATGAGCATCGTGTTAGCTAGGGTCTGCGTAGTTGGAAGGATGTAAGTACCACCTGGAAGGTTCAAAAAGCGACTGTTCGATGCGCTCATCGTGACACCCCGCATCTGCGCTTCTACGGAGGCTATGAGCGGATAGTCTTCGTCGATTTCCGAGTTACTGCTGTCAAGGTTAGTGACGGATGGCAGAGTGTGAGGGGCAGCGTACAGGTATAGGTGATCCATCTACGAGCTTGTGTTGTCTGTGAGAAGAGTCTGTGGTGAAGTGAGAATAGAGGGAAGCGCCTGACCAGGTGAACCATGGTACGGCTGCCAAGCAATAAGGTAGCGCGTGTTATCGGGTACCTGCATGTACTGTGGGGTCCACGGGTGCGGGGCTTCACCTTCACGTGAGATACGTAATCAACGAGCAAACGCGCTTGACGCTTTGGGAAGTTGGTAAGTTCTTCTAAGAAACCACGTCCCTTTGCGAGATTGGAACCTCGCAAGGAACACGGCACAAACTGCCAACCTATATGCGACCCGGAGAATATTGGACGCCAATACGAGGGCACTGGGCATAAACCAATGTCTGCCTCAAGCCTGCGGTGCGGAGTGCTTATACACGCTCGTAGCATCCGTGAACAGTATAGCAAACGCATCCATGGGCGGCGCACCCATCTCAATCAAAGCCTGCCGTGAGTCCACCTCCCCAACCCGCTTCATGGCTTCTTCCATTATCTCCCTCGAATAGAAGGTGAAACATATCTCAGGCACGGTGCTGCAGGTAATCTCGATCCTTTGAAACACAAGCTCCAAGTGCGGACGAAAAGCGCCGGACGAGATGTGGGCGAAGAAGTCGTCGACGGAGGACGCAAGATCAAGACATGCACTAGCATCTGTGAACGCGACCTTGACGGAGGGGTACTTTGCGCAAAGACGTGCGAGTAGTCTCGCGTCGTATCGGAGCCCGTAGTATGTGGTAATTCGAATATTGCCTTGCACGCCAGGAACGCCAGTCGACACAGGAAGCTCGTCGTTCGTGCGGCCCGGCTGTAGCGGTTCGTTTCCAATTCCATTTTGTTTCCTCAGTCCAGGATAGAAGGAATAGAAGAACTTTTGCGCGGTGACCTGGTGGATGACAAGGACCGTCTTGGCCATGTACATTGACCCGAATTCTGCGCGTGTCTGCCGGCACACGTTGCGAAAACCGCCGTACAGTCCAAGGCGAACATGTTCGTAAGGCTTCTCTGGTCGTTTGGGCATTCGTGGCAGTTGTATAGCTTTTGGCTCGACGCAGTATTCGTAGATGCGGTTGCGAAGCTCGCCAGGCAGCGAAAGGAACAGCGAAGTGGACATTGTGATGGCGTTGTGATGGCGTTGAAGCGAGGGAACAAGTTTTGGTATCGATGGAAAATGCGAAAGACGATTACTGCCTTCGGTTTGAATTTCATTTAGGTAGGAGGTGAAAATGCAGTAAAGTAGCAACAAACAGACAGAGAAGCGCTAGAGCCCATTCGGCTAGCGTGACATCTAGCGCGGGATGCCTCATCTGGGCGCTCCAGGATGCAGCCATCCATACCAATCCTCCGGCTTGCAACAATTCGTCCGGACGTCCAGTATACGGACATCGGCCAAGCCAGCATTCTCGAGAAAATCCAGCGCTTCGAGGCCCGCCGAGTGAATGATAGTGTCGCGCTTGGAGCCCCACGGAGGGTCTGCCGTAAGCCAGAGATCGAGAAATGGCGTTGAGACTACTGGATAAGGGCCCCCATTGGATCTGGGGTGTCGCACACCCAGAGTTTTGAGATAAAGGATTGCGGCATCCACATCATTGTTTCCCGGTCGGACCGTTGCTAATGTCTTTGGACCAGCGAGAATTTTGGTCAGATCTTGTACAAGCAACTCACCGTATGCTTCCGATACAAGCTGGCTGCAGGGTTGACTAGGGTCGGTTGGAACGTGAGTGGTGTCAACCTCTGTGGAGATATCGAACTCGCATATGAAGGATGGTTTCTTGGAGCGTATCTGCAGCAGTGGGAGGATATCCAGATAGTGTTCGTTTCGATCATTGACTCCGGGGCCAAGATCAAGAATGACATTGGCAAAGATCGGGCATACAGAGGTCTCGGCGCCCCCCTCCACTAGACTGTATGCCTGGATGACCATTGCGAGGTATTCGTATACATCACGTGCGTCCACCCGGAGTTGAAGTTGTTCGCGGTACAAAGCCCCAAACTCGCTTCGAAGCGTCCGCGAGATCTGAGTAAGACCTAAGAATTGATGACGGGTGCGATCGATCCGTAGGCCAGGGTGGCTGTCTTGGGGACGTTTCATGTCCACGATGCCGTCGTTCTTGCAAAACAAGTAGACATTGTTCCGGAGCTCTTGAGCCAAATTAGCGCAAATTGTTAGAGCAATCAGGTAAATGTTGCTCACCGCCAGGCAGGCTCTTGAAGCTGGTCCTTGTCGGTCGTCATGCTGGATGAACTCTGTAGTAGAGCTGCTTCGTGGTGTGGCTATCGAGTTGACAACCAGGTGGTAGGGCCGCTGGTTACTGTTCTGAACCCGGCCTGCAGTTATACTCGTGGAAGGAGTAGTTTGTCAATGCTTTGCAAATTGCCAGAGCGCTTCCTTCCCTCTGTAAAACACTTGTTAGGCTCGCCTAGGCCTTTTCTCAGCGACCTTATCCATGCTTGTGACTTGTGCACAAGCAGATAATTTCGAAAAGGTGAAAGAATGGAAAGGTCACAGGGAACGGAGTGATATCGGAAAGAGACCCAATTGTGGTATACTAGGTAGCTGCTACCAAGCCTCGCTACATCGCCTTACCTTCAGGCGTGCTGTTCCAAGCATGTTCGAATTGTTGCCATCCGCCATGGGGTTCTTCGCACATCTTGAGATCGCTAATGACGAAGTCGTAATACCCTTCAGCAGGAAGCTTTCCCTGGTTCACAGTCCCGCCCATGGCGATATTGATGAGGATTCTGAAGTCTTCCATGCGGCGTGTGCCCTCTGGAATGCAGCCCTTCATGACTGGATAATTGTCAATGTACCAGATCATGCGCCCTCTCCACCCAGGTATGCCCTCTTCTTCGATCCAAGCGAAGCCATAGGTATGTGGTTGCCGTGCCAGGTCTGGAAGAGACGTCTTCACGACGCGATGCTTCTGTGCATCCTCGCCGGTGTAGGAGCCCCAATGTAGACACGAGTGGTTCTCCGTCTCGCCGTTCCAGCTCTCTGCAAGGTCGACCTCGCCGTCAGTCGGCCATTTGAACGGGTGTGCGGGCAGCATCCAGTATGCAGGCCATATGCCTGGTGCAGACGGAGGCAGACAGGTCGCTGTCAAGTATCCGCGCGGTCGCGATAGCGTCTGATGTGAGGTCAAACGCGCAGAGGTGTAGCTGCCGTTCTGTACGAGGGCGCGCACGATCAGGCGGTTGTCGTGATGGAACGAGTTCTCGGGTTTATCCGTATACATCTGCTTCTCGTTGTTGCCCCAGCCATGGTCGCCGATCTCGTGCCGGAAGTTCTGCGACACGGGTGTCTTGATGTCGAAGGACGGCTTCCAGTAGACGCTCTGGCCCTGTGGTGGAGGGAGGTTCTGGGTCGGCGGAGGCTGCGCAGAGTTCGGGCGGTTCTGAGGGATAGGCGGGGGGCCGCCAGGTGCTGGAGATTGGGGCTTGCTACCCTGGGGAACGGGCGGTGCGAGGGGCTGCTGCTGCGGAGGCGGCGGGCCCCATTGCTGCTGAGGGGGTGCGCCCCATTGATTCTGCTGTTGATTCTGCTGCCCCCATTGCTGGTTTTGGGGTGGAAATTGCGGAGGATACTGGCTGCCCGAGTACTGCCCTGGATTTGGCGCGGGATAGCCTTGGGGTGGCTGCTGGTAGCCCTGAGGTGGCTGCTGATAGCCTGGAGCGGGATGTTGGTAGCCCGGGGGAGGCTGCTGGCCCGGATAGCCCTGTTGGCCTGGGTAGCCTTGGTTCGGGTGGCCTTGCTGGTGATGGGCCCCGGAAGGCTGCCCAGTGAACTCTGAGAGCTTCGCCTTGCCTTTTGCTAGCAGCTTGTCGAGTGTGCCTGACATTGTGTCGCGATGCCGTGATACGAAGGAAGTCGCGGTGGGACGAAGGTTCCGCTTTGAGCCGAGCCGCCATGACGCAAGCAGGGCTGCACCTCCCCAAAAGCGCCGGCGAACTCTCCAACAACAACACGGTTCTCAAATATGAACAGCCTTGTTGCAAAAACTTTCTTCCCCAAGACCAGGTAGCCTTACCTGGAGAGATTAACACGCACGTGTTCTAGACCATCGCAACTGGCCAAGACATGGATGTTCCTCGCAACGCACCAACCTCTCCAGCCTTGACCGAGCCTTCATCATTTCTTCGATACGTTGTTTCTCTCCTTCCTCCAATCACTGTCGCTCCTTCTCTGTCATTTTTTGATTCGTCATGCTCCCCTGTCGCTGCCTACAAACAGGCGTTCATCCACGTTACACCCGTGACGTCACATCTCACCACAACAACGGCTATTCACCCGAACAGCCAACCAGGCTTCCCATGGAAAGCGGGCAGGATGCAGGCCTACACATCCACGGCAGCAGCTATGTGAAACAGGAAGTGCTGCCTGTGTTAACGTAGGCCCCGCGTCATCCCCGTGTTTTGGCAGCAACCAAACTGTCTTAACGGAAGTCGCGCCTTGCCGCACTGTCGCACTGTCGCACTGTCGCACAGGACCAAACACTGCATATCTGGCAGATACAGCCTTCTCTCTTACACTCCACCACCCCACTATTCCCATCAACTACTCCACCTCAGACCTGTAATACCACACCACTCGCCCGCCATTACTCACAAGCCCAACCGAACCAACATGTCTTCCATCGTCAATGCCCTCAGCGATCTCGTCTCGTCCATGGTCGAGCTCGTCTGGTCCTTCATCACCACTGCCGGCGCGCTAGTCCAGAAGACGGTCCAGTTCGCTCTCAACTTCGTGTTGGAGATGATCGACCTCGTGGTTAACTTCTTCCGTGGTCTCGTGGACCTTGCTGGCGGTATCGTTAGCTTCGTACTCGGTGAGTTGGCTGACGCCATTTGACTCGCGCACTCGGTCGATATGGAAACTAACAACACTATAGGTAACGTCCTTATGCTGGGCGTCGTCGCCGCCGCAGTCTTCGGCTTCCTCAAATACCAGCGCAGCCAGGGCAAACAGGTTACGGTCGGCAACAAGAAGCTGAATTAGCCTCTCTTCCGCGAACCCTATCTCTACAACCTACGACGATCCAACTGTTGGTGGTCTAGGCCTTGGACATGGCTGGTACGGTGGCGTTGAGTTTCAGATGTCCCTACGAATGGCGAGAAATTGTATGATACCCCTTGGTGACGGCAGCGTCATGGCGCCCAGCGCGGAGAATTAATGGTCTAGCGCTTAATCCTGTACCAAATCAAGTTGTCTTTACTGCTTCCCCCACCGGTCGCCCAATCTACGCTGATCCTTCCCGTGTCCCAGGGCTTACCCGTTTAGGCTCTGAATACATTCCCCAACATCACGAATAGAATTAATCTATTCGTCTGATATGTAAATATCGAGTGAATTCTCCGAAGAATTCTTGTCTGCTCCACACTGCATGTCAAGAGTATTGGCAAGTTGCCGTAATGCCGAACCTCAATCCCTTTACAAAGAAGATCTCGTCGTATCAACGTCTGTCACATGGCGAAAGCGACCCATGCATCTCTCCAAGTTCCACTCTTCAAGGAGAGGAATGCGATGCAGACAAAGAGCTCTCGCTAGGTAAAAGTTCTCGTCGGTCGCTTCGTTCGTGCCTCGTGCACGCATGTGGGTACATCTTTGTCGCATTTCTCGGCCTTTCGATCGGCCTCGGTTTCAGCAGACTGCTCAGTATTGAACACGATATCGATGGATACATTAGTAAGCTCTCCCCTGTTTCTTATCGATTCCTTGTCCGCCAGACCGGTCTGTTGGCTCGGAATGTGTCGCAATACTGACCAATCACCAGCGCCGTATGGCAGTCCACACCGCAGGATCGAAAAAGTCGTTTGGTCGCTCAATGAGAGTTTCGCCGGTGAACCTAGCGCTGAGACGGAGAAGATGTGGAAAAGCCTGATACCAAAAGGACGAGCATTCGTCCAACACCCAAAGCTAGCAAAAGACATCAAATCCATGTCCGTCTTCCACGAGTTGCACTGTCTAGTAAGCCCTCTTCCTCTCCCACCGCGGTAAAACACCCCGCTAACCAAGCCCAGCACGGCCTCCGGCAAATGTACTACAAAAAATCCTACCTCCTCTCCAAACACCAACACCACGAATCCCAACGCTCAGCACTGAGCCCGCCTCACATA